AGTGCGACTTTGAAAAATCGTCAATCGAGTACCTCGGAGTCATCATCTCCCACAACCACGTCGAAATGGACCCCGTCAAGGTCGCAGGCGTCTCCGCTTGGCCGACTCCGGAAAACAAGAAGGACATTCAGCAGTTCCTTGGGTTCGCTAACTTCTACCGCAGGTTCATTCAGGACTTCTCGACCCTTGCGCGCCCTCTTTTCGTGCTCACCAAGAAGGACCAGCAATGGACTTGGGGCGACACAGAGGCCTCCGCGTTCCAAGCGATCAAGGACGCGGTCACCTCGGAACCGGTCCTGGCGATTCCGGACGACACACGGCCTTTCCGACTCGAGGCGGACAGCTCTGATTATGCGACGGGGGCGGTTCTTTCACAATCCGCCCCGGACGGGAAGTGGCACCCTGTAGCATTCTATTCCAAAAGCTTAAATGACGTCCAGCGCAACTTCATCGTAGAGCTTCCCGAAGCCCATGGGTACGACGCGATCATGGTCGTCGTTGACACCCTCGGAAAGCGCGCCCACTTCTCAGAGTGTCATACGACGGTCGATGCAGTAGGGGCAGCCCGCCTCTACTACCGGAATGTCTGGCGGCACCACGGGACTCCGGAGAAGTACGTCTCCGACCGCGGCTCACAGTTCATCGCGGACTTCACCCGAGAACTTTGGCGTCTAATCGGCATCAAGCCCGCCACGTCCACCGCGTACCACCCGCAGACAGACGGTCAGACAGAGCGCGTCAACCAGGAGCTGGAGCAGTACTTGCGGATCTTCACCAACTACCAGCAGGACGACTGGGATGAGCTGATTCCGGCCGCGGAGTTCGCCTACAACAACCACGTTCACTCCTCCACGCAGCAGGTCCCCTTCATGACGGACACGGGACGGCTCCCGCGCATGGGCTTCGAACCCGGAGTCCGTTCCGCCATGGAGTCAGTGAACGAGTTCCGCGACCGGATCGCCACTGGTGTTGCTGAAGCCAAGGCCGCGCTCACTAAGGCCAAAGAGGAGTACAAGCGCTACTACGACCGGAGACGCACTCCGTCTCCGGAGTTTAAGGTTGGCGACCGTGTTTGGCTGGATGCCTCTGACATCAGGACGACTCGCCCCTCGGAAAAGTTCTCCCATCGCCGCCTCGGACCGTTCAAGATAGTCGCGGAGATCAGCAAAGGTGCCTACAAGCTCGACCTCCCTCCCCGCTACTCGAAGCTCCACCCGGTCTTCCCCGTCGTCAAGCTCGAGCTCGCTCAGGACGACCCCTTCGACGGACGCCCCGGCTACGACCAGCCCCCTCCGGACCTCGAGGACGGAGTCCCGGAGTGGGAAGTAGAGGAAATCCTGGATGCAAGGGTGAGGTATAAACGGCTGAACTACTTCGTCAGATGGAAAGGCTACGATGCATCGCACGACCAATGGGTCCGCTTCGACCGCGTCTTCGCCCGGAGAAAATTGCGGAGTTCTATCGTAAGTACCCTGGCAAGCCACGACACATCGCCTCCGCGACCTTCGACTCGATTCCGTTCCGGTCTATGCGTCGGGGACGCCGCATTCAAAGGGGGGGGTGATGTCAGGGGAACCTCCCTTTCGGCCCCTCGGAGACGCCTCCGATTCCGGTCCGACTCCGGTTCCGTCTCCGGTCCGGCCCTCCATCTCGCCCGCACAATCACCGATCCGTCAACGCCCTCCCGACGGTCGCCCTGGGACCTCGCCTGCGCGCGCCGCCCAAGCCTTCTGTGCCCGACAGCGGCAGCTACGGACAAGCAGTATATAGTCAGCTACCTAGCAGGCGGACCCTTAGAGTTTCTTCTCTTTGGATCCTCCCCTGCTAGGTCAGCTTCATTTGTATTCGCTTACCAATGTTCACGCCTTTGGATCCTCCCCTGCTAGGACCTTGATCTCAGGCCTCCGGGGTTGCCCTTACAGTTGGCCCGGTTTCCGGGCTATCAGGGCGGCTATGGTGCATGCCAAGCATCTGAGAAACCATCAAATCTGCTACAAGGTATGTTGGATGGTTCTTTTTGAAGGAGAAAGCAGCTTACAGTTGTTAAAAGTGTTGTCAGACACTGTAAAAGGTGTCGACAAGTCCCGCGGAGTGGTCATCTCTCAGTGATCAGCGTAAAGCTCCGAGTATGGCCAGATCCGGCCATATTGTCAGACTGCGGGTCAGGCTGTGCAAGGTCTTCTCCTAAGAATGTGTACCCGGAACAGAACAGACAGATCGTCGGGCCCGCAAGTACGGCAAGCAGGGTGGGTCAAAACCGAAAGGGCCCGTCAACTTGGTCCTTGTTGCTATCGGTCGTCAAAGGTTCAAATCGGGTTGTGTCGGGCCTGATGAGTTGGTGATTCCTCCTTGCATGGAGCGAAGGAGTTCTTCAGACAATCTAAGTGATAGAGTACATGCTATGCTATTGCACATTATATACACGGGCCTGTAAAGGGGTGATCGGACACCCTGGCCTCTCCTGCTCCTCCTCACCCCCGTTCCTGGCTGCAGAGGGGACGATCGTACATCCCTTGTGGGCCAGGCGCTACTTCTAACCTCCTAGCACTCCTCCCCAGTCCCCTGGTGTCGAGTTGGGCTCGGCAACAGCTCTGCGCATCGTTCTCAGTCACGTGCTTCCCACATGTGCGTTCCTCCTACCGGGGCGCATGTTCCCTGTCGTCACGTGCTGTGTGTTGCAGGCCCGCGATAGCCCAACACCAGCGCCGGAGCGGACGGGCCGGGTCTTATCCGTGACACGTATATGCCATATACGGTACGGTTATGGTCCGGAAGACCGCTGTAAACCACTGTAAATGTACAGCCGGACCGTATATGGTACGGTTGTGATCCCTCAGGCTAACACTTTGGTGATGTATCCTTTTTATCCACTATTTATTATAAATAAATCCTACTTCAGGGCCTGATTTTTGGTAGAAACCCCCAATGTGAATATGACACATCATTAGCCTATACTTACATATATTAACTTCATTGCTTTACAGTACCACCGAGAATGCCTCTCTTCATAATTTTTTATTTTTGATCCCAGATCATAAGGTCAAAATTATTATATCTTCCTTGATATTGTATGTATTCAATCTTCAATAATACATTTGAGATTGTCTAGATAAAATGAAAACATTGATATTTGGATGTGCCATCAGATTGGGACAGTGGGCAGGAGGTTGAGCAGTGTTGAGATCACAGCTAGGAAGAGGTTTGATAGACAGTAGAAACATCGGAGAATATCTTATCACCAATACCTGTCACAATGACCACTGACTTGACAGCCATGTCCTGAGGGATTTTAAGAGCAAAGTATGAGACTTTGATCTGCTGATCGGCGATTCGGATGTGCTGCCGGAGATCAGGGCATGTACATGGGCAGGAGGTCAGCGTCAGAATCGGCCCGGGAAGCGTGTCCACATTCCTCGGAACTGTTGCCCGAACCCATCAGCGCCAAATATACCAAGATTCAAGAACATGAACTGGCATCCGGCTTCCCCAGCCCAGTGCATCAGCTACATCCTGTCGTCTGGCCTGGTCAGTAGAAGATTGCTCATGGGGGAATGTGCGCTCGGGTATGTAGTTACTATATTGGCGCCGCTGCGTCCTACTGGGGACGCAGCGGCGCCGATATTCACTAGCGCGACTCTACGCCAGTCCCCCGTGGGTCTCTAGATCTTTTTCCTCCGTACTGCAGCTCCGGCCCGGGCGCTCCAGTCACCGGGTCGGAGTCCAATGCCAGGATACTCCACTGGCAAACTTGAATATTGAGGGCTCTTCAGAACTTGGAAGCTAATGGAAGTTTATCTTGTTTTGACAACATGTGCACTGGGTGCAAAACTTGCGCTCGCCGCGGCTGACTGGGACATACTTATAGAGCTATTTATTATAATGATCTTTCACCTTCACATGAGTTACGGCTCAGGCTGCCCGTAGACAACAAGGACCTTGATTATATTAAGCGCGAGAGCGAGACCGGGCTGCCGCAGATAGGCTAACATCATCGTGGTCGTCCTGCTCAGGCTTCGGTCTAGCGACATAGCCCCGCGGGAGAAGATTGCGCACTCGCGACTCGATGCGGGGATTAGGTGATGCAAAAGCGATGATTAGTATGATATCGATTCCATCGAGCAAGAACATGCAGGTAGCACAAAGGTAGCATATGAAGACAGGCCTACCCGGGGAAATGAAGCTTCATATCTCTGACAGTTGTCAGAGCTGTCATGAAGCTTCGTTATTGGCAGCTTACCAGAGGTCCCCCAACAGCATATCAAACGTACCTTTTCCCTTACCCAAACCCTAACCAAACCCTAACCAAACACTAACCAACCCTACCCAAACACTAACCAACCTAACCTGACCCTAACTGGCAAACCCTAACCAAGTAAAAAAACAGTATATTTTGAGTTTAAGTTGACTGACAGTTCTTGACAGTTCTCTGATCAATGAAGCTTCGCCCTGGGCATCAGCGATCACCAGCCGCGAAGCTTCATGACATCTTGGGAGATTGTCAGTGGTGATGCATCACTTCCCCGGCCTCTGGTGATGAAGAAGCTTAAGGCGCGGAATGGTCCATGGATGTTTTCAAGTTGGCTAGAGCCAGGGATAGATCTGCGCAACTTGAAGAATCAAGATGGCACGGAGGTCCACGTCGAATCTTGATAGTCTTCTGCTCGATTCTGTAGCCGCTTCAAGTTGTCTTACCTCGCTTGCGGGCTCACTGCGCGTGGATCTACGTAACGGCCAAGGTGAATCCCACCAATCACATAGCAACCGCGAATCTGTGACGTTGTTATTGGATCATTCACAGCTGAGACGAGACGATCACGGACCCTGGCAGCGCGTTCCGCACCGCATTCCCATGTATAAGCGGGCAGTGAGCGGCTTGCTGGCGTCTTCCTCTTCTCATCCGTCGCTCTTTCTGCGTCGCCTTTCTTCTCCTCTTCTTCTCGGGCTGCGTCGCGGTTCCAAGCTTTCTTGTTGTTGTTTCTTTCCGGTTGGATGGGCCAGATATGACTTGGAGCGGCATTCGGGTGATTCTCTGGTGCGTGGACAGCAACCACGCAGTCGACGAAGCTGACCTCCCCTAGTGTCTTAGCTATAGCCACCTACGCACATGCGCTTGTGCTCCCACGTGGCGCACAGAACTCCGCATTCGGCGAGCCCACCGGGCAGCAGCGGTTCGCGAGCGACGCCAAGTGTGTCTTCTTCCGTTGTGCCTCTGCCCCTAGCTGATCACATTCAGCTCTGAGCACCAGCAGCGCGTTGTCGTCGCCATCGGACTCTCCGTTGGCATCGGCATCGCTCTCGCTGTGTTCGGCACCCTTGGCGTGCTGTATTACCGCAAGCGCAAGCTCGAGCGTGCACACGCCAGCCTCGCACACAGCCTCGTCAGTGCCCCCGTCAACCCGTTGTCCCTCCCTTCCTCCTTCACCTCCTCCCAACCCTCCTCTACCGCGGCCCGGCCGGCACGCTGGCGCTCACTCCTCACACTCTCCCTCCCGTCCCTCCGCCACTGGTTCCGCAGCCCGTCCCGGTCCCCCGCCGCGCTCACACGGCAGGTCTCCCCATTCGACCTTGCGGCCGGGCCGAGGCCGCCGACGCTCGTGAGTGTCCCGCGCAGCGTGCGGCTATCGGACATCTCGATTACGACCGTGCCGACGACGCGCACCGCGCCGTCCCGCACAACGACGCGCCTCAGCTCCGGCGGGCGGACCGCATCGACCGGGCGCACGGCTGGCACGGGCCGGACGGCGCGCAGCGAGCGGCTGCTCGCGGAGGCGCATCGCCGTGCGGAGCTCGAGGAGCTGCAACGGCGCGTTGCCGCACTGGAGAAAACAGCGGCCTCGGGCACGGGACATTAGCGCTGACTATAATGATAATTTATTTTATATTTATTCTACGTCGGGGACTCGGCCGGGGCATGGTGCACACAACACGATTCAGCGCAGAGCCTCCCGTATTTGCCGTGCACACCGACTCAATCGCAAGTTTGCTTCCTCCTGTCCTACAATGATCGGGAAGCAGGGTTTTCCGGCACAGTGCATAACGCACATAACCCTATCCATCGGCATCTCCGACTGCTATGCCCACCTTGAATGCTCGGCATGTAGTTCGTTGCGAGCCGCTCGCCCCTAGCCTACGAGCCTGGGGCAGCGCTGACCTTCGGGTACGGCCGTTCTCATGGTGGGCGTAGTAGTACGTAGTTATTTTTAAGTTTTAATCATCTGCCGGGGCGACTCAGCGCAGAGCCTCCCGTACTTGCCGTGCACACCGCCCTGCCCTGACTCACTCGCTGGGTTTGCTTCCTACAGTGATCGGGAAGCCGGGTTTTCCGGCACAGTGCATAACTCACATAACCCTATCCATCGGCATCTCAGCCTTGCTATGCCCACCTTGACTGCTCTGCATGTAGTTCTTTGCGAGCCGCTGCCCCTAGCGTACCGGCCTGGGGCAGCGCTGACCTTCGGGCACGGCCGTTCGCAGGGTGGGCGCCGTAGTACGTAGTTATTTTTAAGTTTTAATCATCTGGGTGCATCACTGGCATTTTGCCAGTCAGACATCCGCACCCAATTATCCCCCCTTCTATTTCATGTCCTTAAAATCAACTTGAACTGCTTTACTTGTACTCGGTATCTGTGTATGGATTGAGAGTGCAGAGACGATAGCGATGCTTGCGCCGGGATAGTACCCCGGCGGCCGTGCCGGCTCACGTGTCACCGGCCCGAGGCCAATTACTTCTTTCTTTTCGACCACGACGATGCCCACCGTCTTCTTCCCTATCGCGCGACCGTGCTCGCTGGCGGGCGGCGCGGCGCTGAAGAAGTGAAGCTAGTCCTCAGGTGTGTTTTCCAAGAACCTTTCACTTGGGCCGCACCGTCTGGCCCCGGGACCAGTCTACCTTTCAACGACCGAATGTGGTCCTTGTCGGACGGATGGTCGATAGGCGCGGGTGGACCAGCTTCAGGACGGTGGAATGAACAACTTGAAGGGGTCAGAAGGACCGAGAGAAGGAACTTGTAGACGGTGCGTGAAGCTGCTTTTTTCGCCTCCAGCTGGGCTTTCTCTTACTCGTACTCTGGCAGATCCACCTGCCCCACGGATGCTCGATATCTTATCCAGCTCCTCTCATTCAATTGCATGAAGGCGTGTGATCCACTCTGTGTGCCTCTTCTCCCGATCAACCACCTCTTGCCGGAAGCCACCACCCTCCGCCTATGTCGCGCCGTCCTGGCCCCGTTTCCCGCCTCCTTGCCCTCCCAACCGAGCTGCATCTCAAAATCCTGGAGGAAACGTTCTTCGTGCCCGCCCCATGGCCTGCAAACCTCACGCTGCGCCGCCTTGCGCTCGTGTGTCGTCGCCTCCACACGATAGCAACACCCGTGCTCTACCGGGAGGTCGACCTCCGCCGGGCGTCTGCCGTCCGCTCCGTACACGCGGTGCGCTGCTTTCTGGCGACGATTGTGGCGAAGCCTGAGTTGGGTCGGTTCGTGCGCTGGCTCAGTCTTGCCAGCGCTATTACAACCTCCCCCCGGAAAGGGGTGGCGTTATTGCTGTGAGTGGATATATTCGCGCAGGCATATCCTACTGACTGGACTATCCCCAGCCGCGCTCAAACTCTCGCTGACTGGGGCGAAGCGTTTCCGCAGCTCCGAACCCTATTCTTCGCGAGCTATGTCACGGACGGCATGGCGTTTCTCTGGGATGCCCACTTTCCTCATCTGCGGCGGTTTTGTTTCCACAGAGAGTTGTATTCGACGGCCCCGGCGCCGGTCGACGACTCCACTTCTTCGCAGCTCTTGATGCAATTTCTGGCCCGACACGCGGGGAGTTTGCGCGACGTCGACCTTTCAGCGCTCCCTCTTCCGCGAGATAGCCTGGCTGATTGGAAAGCCGTTGACGCTCATGTCCCGACTGCGATTCCCGTGTTCACCGTCCTCAGAAGGCTCGAGGCGCCGGCTTTCTTTTTCGATCTGGCGGGACGACTATCCCTGCCTGCGCTGGACGAGCTGCACATCGACTGGCTGCCCACAGCACGCGCACAACAGCCAGCCGGAGATGGCACTCTTGGGGACGAAGACTGGCACCAAGCTGTTCTGAGGAAAGTCGCGGACAGCCTACGCGGGCCCACGCATCTGAAGATAATCAATAAATACAGCGGGACAAGCCCTGGCTTGGGCGAGGCATCGGAGACCGGCCGTATACTCAGCGCTGTCGCGTCCTCGCTTCCGCAGACCCGGTTTTTAGGGCTTTGCACGGCCGGAAATGCAACGATAATCGATGTAAGGATGCTCAGTCACTGTTTGCTTGTACTCAGCGCTGCACAGGACGCCTCACAGGCTCTGGGCCGACTACACCTCCCCGCGCTCCAAACGCTCGTGTTCACCTTCGACTCGGACGACGACACCGACACGGAAGACCCGCGCGCGCAGCGCGTGGCGGCCTGTTTTCGCGAGTCTAAAGGGCTACGCGCGTTGGCAGCTCTTTCCGGTGAGCACGTTCATGCTTCTGGACGATATTGCTGACGCTGTGGCTGAGATGTTGTTGACTGCTGGGTCAGGGCGGGCACACAGGCCGAGGTCGGACGCGTGTCCGACGACGAGTTTGTTGCCTTCGTTAAAGAGAACTGCGGCTTGGACTCCGTGTTCATTAGCAACTTCATGTAAACCATAGTAATGTACTAACAACCGTGACGTACCCTATTGCTCATGCGTACCATCCTGGTGATCATGCGGCGCTCAGCTGAGGTACCTCCCAACATTCTCACTTACACACTGTAAAACTGTATCTTTCAGTATAACTGAAAATGATACTTTTTGTTGTACTTTCAGGCAGCACTGAAATTGGCACTGAAAACAATACTATTAGTTTATCTGACATCTGTACCAAAAATAATGGTTTCAGCAACAGTTTTAGCAGCTGCTGAAAACAGTCTTCAGTATATGCTTGAAGTGATGCTAAAAGCACTCCTTTCAGCTAGTGCTGTCCACAATTATATTATGCCAGAATATATTTTGAATATATTTGAAGAAATATGATTATAATATGCCTCCTGCATATTCACTAGAAAAATTTTGAATATGAATAAATATGAATATAATTATATTATGCCATGGTCATATTCATTATATAATCATTAATGGCATTACCTGTTCAAACTTCAAAACCTTGATAAACCTGTGTATTCTACAAGAAACCTACTCTAAAGGCTTTCTTTCAGCTCAGTTTATATCTTATCTGAAATTTGTCCTATTGAGAACACTGATTTTCATGCCAAAATGAATGATTTCAACACAAATTTTAGTTTCAGCTGAAAACAAGGATTTTAGGATGCAACTGTAAGGGCAACCTCGCGAGGCTCGAAATCAGAGTCCTGAGCAGAGGGGGAATCCTTAGTGAACTAGTACAACAGGAAGGGATGCTACAGACTCACCTGAGCAGAGGGGGAATCCTTAGAGAACAAGCCAAGGAGCCCTCTGCCCAGGTGCACTACTATATACTAGTGACCGGAGTAATGATAGAGTGACTGCGTAGCGACAGATGACGGGTTGGAGAAGTCAGGTGTCGCTAATGGACCCTAGGTGAGTGTTGAGTAGCCCTCGAAGCTCCAGAGAGGCAGGTTTGGGACCGTGATGCCAAGGGAGGGGCCCAGGCATCCCTAGAAGGCCCAAGAAGGGCTTTGGGAGGTCCAGGCTGCCTCTGGGCGTCTCCACTTGTGACCGTGACGTGACAATCGGAATCGGAATCGACTCCGGGTGTGTGTGACCGTGATGTGATGGCTGGAAACGGAGAGGGAAGGCGTGGAGCGGAAAGGGAAGGAGTCTGGTCTAGCCCAAGGGCCGGGGAGTGTCGAAGAGGACCAATGGGAATGGCGGCCAGCCATGACCACTGGAGGGTAGCGACAGGGGGTCACTCGGTGTGACGGGTATACCTGCGGTACCTACGGCTAACGACTCAGAATCGCTCTATCAGATATCGAGAATCACCTGATCTTCAGTAATTACATCAGCCATCAGTTTGTAACAGTAAACGTGACCACAGTCACGCAGCAGCAATCTTAACCAAAGTCCTCATTCTTCTTGTGTCTCGTCTTCGTCTCGCCTCTTTCCCTTCTCGCAGCCCCGTCCCGACTGCCTGAGTACGCACCACTGCTCCCTCCCGCCGTAGGTTACGGGTCAGCTCGCGGACAAACATTGGATTCCAATGGTTGTCTGACTATCATCATCATCTCTTCTCTTCCCTTCCGCCCAGCGTAAGCCCCTCGAACCACAGCGTCACAAATGGAGCCCACCGCGAGGGCTTACCGCTTGGGCTGGGGGGGCGAAGAGCGTCTACTAGAAAAAACGAGGAAGATTTGACGCTGCTACGTGGCACTTCTCACGGCCGGAATCCTGCCGTGAAAAGTAGGCCCTTTCACTCGTTTCAACTTGACAGGACTGACTACCCGACTGATTATACCCCTGAACTCCCTTGCCGATATCGCTTAAATTCGGGGTCGTAACTCTGTGACAACCGCGAAAGAAAAACTTCACCTTTTACCTCCACGAAGCCTGCGACTCGAATTCTCGCTACTCCTTCCATGTCGTCGTCTGGGCCCCAGAAGATCTCTCTCCGCAAGGTCTCGAGTTCTACGTCAGCCCCGAAGCCTCCTTCTAAAACGGCTCGCCCCGCTACTGCCCAGGGTTCGTCAGAGGTGGCTGGATCCCAGCTGCCGATCCTGGACCTTGACGAAGAAGTGGGACCCATAGGTTCAGCGGCTAGTGCGTTCGACTCAGCTTCTCCTTGGACGCCGCTGCAGACACCCGCTGGGCCAGGTCCCAAGGTTACAGCGCAACCGGCTCCTCCTCCGTCACCATCTCCCATGCTGAGTGCGAAAGCACCAGTTTTTCGCCCCTCGACTACTATCCCCTCCAGAACGGAAGAAGGAAGAGGTAGAGCGGCGAGCGGAGCGTCTATAAAGACGGTTCGTGCTTCGGACGAGGAGAAGGAAGCAGAACGGCAATCCTCGTCGGAGGAAGAGTCCGCGCGTGCCTCAGACCGCTCAACGGGTCGGTTCTCTAATTGGCAAGAAGTTTCCCCTACTCCACGTTCGCCTTCCAGCCCTGCGGCTGTCAGCTTCCGTCCTCCGCCTCCTCATTTCAGAGATGAGTCCATCACGACCGCTCTTCGAACGGCCGCTGGATCCCCGCGGTTCGACGTCCCGGAGATATTCGTCTATCTTGGTAAATCGCTAGGACTGTACTATGAGTCCTTGGAAGACAGCGTCCTCCGACATCACCGAGAGCTCTCAGAATCGGATAGCTACGACCCGCTGGTGACATACGGAATGGAAGGCATCGAGCAGGTCTTGGATATTCAGAAAATGGACCTACTACGACTTATACTCAAGCGATACTACTGCCCGCGCCGCGACATGACGTGGGATTCGTTGGAAGAGGAGGTGGATGCCATCTCCTCATTGCCAGCCGCGGACACGTTAGTTGCTCCCGTATTCCCTCAGACTGAGCCAAGATACTTCCGTCTCGAAGTCAAAACTTTTGCGAGAGTAGCTCATGTGATCTTCGCTTTCCACCAGATCTTAGAGGGATTGGAACAGCTCGAGGGACGACCGAGTAGGGCCAATTTTCAAGTCGATTACGGCTTCAATCTTCTGTCCGTTCTCAACCGAGCGAGCGAATCAGACAAAGTCCTTCTGGCTTTCGGAACGACGCAGTTACGTCTCGCTGGTGCTAAAATCCGAGTGCAGCGCGCTTTAGTTCATTGGAGTAAGGCTGCCAAACAAGAGTCCGAAACTTCGAGTTCTTCGCTGGCATCGACTCGGTCAGAGTTGAGGAAGCGTACTGCAGCTCTAGACCCGGAACCCGCGCTAAGACTCTACGCATCCAGGCCCGACTACCAAGAATATCTGGAGCAAGCCAATCCTATCGTGTGGCAACGAGTTAGAGCTCACTATCAAGCGGCCCAAGACGTATACGCTCAACCTTACCGCTCGGATTCCTGGCCAACACACCCGCAAGCCCCGCCTCTGCCCATGAAACCGATATTTCCTTCGACTACACCAACGTTCACGCAAACAGGTGTTCGCTTCGCCAACCTTGGTAGTGCGCCCTCTCCGATCTCTCATCGCCCTTTCCCGGGTCCCTCGGCGTCGACACGTGCTGGAATCCAGAACGTGTTTGGCAACATCGCCTCCATAGGCGTTAACGAAGCTGGGGGGGCCATATGTGCCGCTGACAGGGCAAGAGCAGAGCTCGCGGGCGTACACGGAGAGAGGGGCGTATAACCCGTTCCCTACTTTCGCTTCAGGCCAGCAACAGGCGCCTTACGCCGCGACCATTCATCCAAATCAGTCCAGTCACACCTTCCAGGCTTATACCCCTTCACGAGGTGCTCCTCAGCCCTCGGAATCCTCTTCAAGCGAGTCCAGAAAAAGGAATTCGAACGGTGACCGTGGCCATAGCGGGCCGCCCGGAGGAAATGGCCCGTCAGGGCCGGGCGGTCCGTACGGACCAGGTGGACCGGGCGGACCGGGCGGACCCGGTGGGCCGGGCGGACCCGGTGGACCTCCCGCCGGGGGCTACTTCGGCGGATTTCCGCTCGGAGGAGCTCCTAATCCAGGGGGGCCCCCTGGTGGTCCTCCTCCCCCTCCGCCTGGACCTGCGCAACCTTTCAACCCACCGGATGCCGGATGGGGGGGGCTACCAACCGTTCCAAATCGATACACGAATGAAACAGTCCGAAATTCCTAACTGGGACGGGAAGGGAGACTCACTGATCAAGTACTTGGTTAGCATGAAGGATCTAGCCAGGAAAGGCCCGCTAATTCAGTATCAAATGGCTCAAGTGGCTCCTCAACGTTGGGAGGGAGCTGCGAAGGGGGTGGTGGGACGTTCTTCCGGACGCGGTTAAGGATATACACCAAGCTTCATGGTTCCACATGCTTCGAGCCCTCACATCTCAATTCATGTCCTCGCGCTGGGAACGTGAAGAAATCAGCAGGTTCGAATCGATGTTCTTCAGGCAAAAGGGACACGAGGAGGAACTTCCGACTGAATTCTTCCAACGACGCATACTTCTCGCCAAGTTCTTGTACGCCACGGACGATGAAGCTTCAGCGGCGCACCGCATCATTCGCAACCAACCGGATGCCTGGAAGGAATCTATTGACGAAGTTCGCTGCCCTACCATATCGCATCTGATAATGCTGGCGGAACACTACGGCGAAACTCTAATCTATACTTGGGAGTCCGCTAAGATTATTCGTGCTCTTCGTGATCAACAGGAGAACGGCTCGAAACGTCGATTCTTCCCGCGCTAGAACCGCTAATCTCGCTGCAATAGACGAGGATTGGGAGGACGCGGAGGAAGTGACGAACGAAGCTGATGAAAAGGAAGCGATGGCGGTCACTAACCCTCGTTGGGGTTCTCGAGCCAACCGTTCAAAGAGTATCTGGCCAAAAGGGGGCGAAATGAAAGGCGTCAAGTTCACTAGGGACGATTCCGTGAAGACCAACCCGCCGCCAAAGGGAGATTGCTTCATCTGTTCCAGCCCGCTACATCACGCCGCGCAATGCCCCAAGTACGACTTATGGAATAACACTCGATCCGCCCATTTAGCTGAAGCGCTGTTGGCCCTAGTAGACCAGGACAGAGACGAAAGAGATAG